ATAATAAAAATAAAAAAAAAAAAAAAAAAAAAAAAAAAAAAAAAAAAGCAAAAGGAAATTCTGTAGAGAAATCATATGAATAACATTTTGAGATAAGGATCATTAATTAGGTTTTGCTGAATAGAGTTTGAAGAAAGATACTGTGCACGTTCTGGAATGACGTAAGGGTTCTGCTGCTTATTGAATGCCTTCTCTGTTGATGCCTTTGTTGTTTCATGCACTTGCACATCATTCTAACTTAAATGTATGGTGCATTTCTTCGGCTGGGGAGGACGGAAGAATTACTGACAATTACTGACATTCCCTGTTCATCTTACATGCCTTACTGTCTACACACTCTTTACTGTCAGATTCCCCAGTTCTACATCAAATTCTTTTTTTTTTTTTTTTTTTCAAATCCACAAAGTGCCTTTACTTCAGTGTATCCAAAATATTTTTTATTTTAGGCTTTGATAAATTGGCTTGTGTATGATGCTGATATATCAGGATGAAAGTACAATGTTCTCAAGAACATACAGCTTGAGAATTGACAGGTCACTGATTTTAGGGGAGTTCAAATACAGCATTTTTTCCTTTGTCACCATGGTGATATGCTGATCTTGAAAGGAATTTTTTTTTTAATGCTTCCAGGATTCAGATGCTCTAAATACAGATAAGTCTGTTGACTTATCCACAGAGAGTGAAAATTACACAAGTGGCAGGAAAAAGACTCTAAAATTCAAGAAGCTTAGATATTTCTGTTGTGAAATTTGAAATTCTGTTTGTCATCTGAACAGTGAAGTGAGAAATGATTAAAAGGTGATCAAACTGATGTTACTGTATTGAAAAAAGCTCTGTTCAGTCTTAACTGTGGATTTGCTACTAACAGCTTCACAATACCTTGTTTATTTTGCCATAACTTTGAAGTACACGGTGTTGCTTTGATCAGTTCACGGGTCTTAGTGCAATCTGAATAACAAAAAAATCTAGTGAGGGACTCTGAGCCTGGAACTTGATTGAAGTGGGTTTAGCTTTGTTGACTTGGTCAGGGCACTAGATGTAAGAGTTTGAAAACTTCTGTGGAGAGAGTGATATCCTAGGTACACTCTTTTGTTTCCTCTAACCTCACACGTGTTTTTCTTAAAGAAGAAAAGCTTTAAGTATATCATATTTTCCTATCTTATCATTCGAATGCTTGAATCTGAAATTGGAAATGCTCCCCTAGTGTTTGGAAAAGTTTTCTAGGCGTGTGAAAAAAAATTCTGTAAGACTAAAATAGATGGCTGCAGCACTAAGCTTATGTGCCAGGTTAATAGAGGACTATAGGAAATAAGCTGGAACATAAATTTTAAGGTTTTTTATCTGTTCTTTATGTATTTTTTTTCTTCTTTTGAGTCTTTCATCAGCAATTTTCATTTGCAGAGGTACAGTTGCTTTCATCTGGTAAGCTAATGGATTTGGCTTTTTTTTTTTTTTTTTAAAGTAAAAAATACTTCCTCCTTTTTTAATCACTCTTCATCGGAGAACTGGAAATAAGCGCAGCCAAGTACACCTGCAGTTGAGGTGCAGTGTTTGATACATCTGGAAGAAATCTTTTTACTTTAGCTGAAATGTGTGAGTTGAAAACTGAAGTCATAGCAGCAGAGCACAGTGTTAGTCATATGTGGTTTTCAGACACTAAAATGCATGGACTTGGTGTTGGGCTTTGTTCTTTTTTTCTATCCTTCCGTAATCATTCTAACAAATGACAAATTTGTAAGGGATTTATTTCCTCACTGTTGGCATTATTTTCATTTGTATACCTTAGAACAACCAGTCAGGCTGTATATGTGGTATGGGAACCAAATTTAATATTAATGTTTCTTTTGTTGTAGTGGAACCTTTAACTAGTGTGTAAGAGCTGCATTGGTTTTCAACTAGCCGTAAAGCATTTCAAAATGTTTTGTATTAACTATGATTTATCTTCCAACTGGAAAACTTTCCATTATTAAATTACTGAAATCATTCTCTTTGTCATTAGAATTATTATTTTTTCCCTGGTATTAGAACTTGTCACGTTCCATGTGGCAGTATGTGCTTTATGTTTGCTCGCTTCTTGAAATGAGAACTTCCTCGTTTATTTACTTGTAAACAAACAAAATTATTTGTTTCTCTTCTGAATGTGTGTCTCTTCCCTTGTCCAGTTTATTCTGTGAGGCATAAACAGCTGTGCTGACGCAACTGAGTGCATGACACAATTACAGAGACTATAGATTGGAAAGGAGGAGTTGGGATCAATTGATCCATGTTCACTGCAGAATAGAAGACGCATGTAAAATTGTACTGACTACTTCATTAGCAGCGTGCAGCAGAAAAGGCAGCAGATCCTCAATTTAGTTTTTCAGCATGCGGTTTTGCTAAAGAATTGCTAACTAATTCTCCTTGATAATCTTGGCATCCAACATACAGAATATTCAGTATTATCTGCTTACAGTCTTGTGTGGAATTAAAAGATGGAAGAGTGTTCACATGTGCGTTTGGCCTTAGGATATGCAGGTGGTGCTCCAGCGGGGCCAAATATGGCTACTCATAGCACAGGGTCACTTTTAAACTATTTCAGAGGCCCTGTGCAAAACCAGTCAATCTGACTTTGGAACATTTGTTCACATTTTAGCACGCAAACTTTCTTGCAGCGTTGCAGTGAACAGAATTATTTTAACATGTAATAATTTAAAGCAAACAAACTGGAAATTATCTTTCAGAAATTAAGAATTGCAGATGGTTGTTGGGGGAAAAAAAACATGTCCTTGTCTGAAAGGAATTCTGTATCAGTGTTCAAATGAACACTTAGAACAGTTGAATGAACTTCTTGTACTGTTTCTGTTCCTTTTACTTTTCTGGATTGGAAGTGCCACTCCCTAGAATAGTGGTGGTGACTGCAGTACCTGCCTGTTTCCTCTGAAACTGCTCTATCAGAAAGGGAGAGGTATAAAGTACACAATACAACACAACCTCCAGCTTTCTGCTAATAAGAGGGTGTATCAGATGATTATCAAGAATTTCTTGGAAATAATCCTGTTGACCTTGTAACTTGCAGCTTACAGTTTTCTAGAACTGTGTTTCACAATGCATGTGAACTGTGAGCCTCTGTGTGGGTCCTGCCTCTTGAGAGGTGTGTGCAAATGTTGGAATAGTGGTTGACTCTGGTAGAATAACCTATGTGGGTTGCTGTACCTATGATATAGCTACTTTATTCCAACGACATGAAGGACCAGTTTGTCATTTAGTATAATTCATAATTAATCATATGACTTCCATCATTAGAATATTTTTAAATGGTGCTGTTCAGTTTTTAAGCAGGACCGAGAAAGATTTTATGGATACTTCTTGTTTCTCATTTGTGTTGATTGCTGCGTGTCCTCAGTAACACTGCAGCAAAAAAAAAACAACGCACACACAAAACACCCCAAATAACCACCAAAGCCCAACGCTGCATTTGTGTTTTGTAGCAGTTATCTTCCAGTCCTGGAAAGTTTATGCTCCTTGCACCATCCTATCAGATCAGGCAGAGGTTTTCAGGACTAGTTTGTTGGAGTACTCGAGAGTGTGCACTCCTGAGTACTGTATGAGAAGATGAATGGTTATACCTGTGTTGCTTGCATCGAAGGATTCTGGAGATTTAACACCTTCATCCCCAGAACTATTTGAGGTTTTTTTTTTTTGGTTTTTTGGTTTTTTTTGTTTTTTTCCTGATGACTTTTATAGACTTAAAATATAGGGGAAAACTCTGTGCATTGCATCAATTTGTTTAAAATCAAATCACAGCTGTAATCATCAAAGATGATGACAAAGATCCTAGCTGTTGGTATTTGAAACATCCCACATCTCAAATTTAGTTGTGGCTTAGAAATGCTGCTGTTGGTTTGCATTTGGATTTCTAGTTTGTTAGGTTTTAATTCCTGGTATGTTCATTATTAAGTAGCTTCTTTAGTAAGGCTTATGCAGATTTGTGGCTGGCTGTTGAGATCATCTGGTTTTCTCTGTATATTAATAAGTCTGGATTTAGGAATGAGGGATTTGTTACTGAGATCTTGATGCCAAATTCCTTGTGTGGTGAATGTGATCTTAATATATCAACAGAAGGTCATTGATGCTGCATAAAGCCTCTGGGTTTTCAGTGCAGTGTTTTTTTAGAACCTCGTGTGTTTGTGGACATAAGCTGGTCTACTGATGTATTTCAAATCCTCATGTTACTGATTTGAGTGGAATTTTAATTGCCACCTGAAAGAGAACTCTATGATCCTTACTATCAAGTATTTATCCTTGTAAGCAGCTTGCAGGTTTTTATTTGCACTTCCTAAAATCTAATGCAGCACTGAAAAAATAAGGCTGGAGGTCTCAGTACTGTTTGAGTTTGTAATTGTAAGCTGCAATACAAAGGTGGCACCGTGATCTCTGCCCACATTTGTCATGGTGATGGTGCACAATTGGCATAGTTAATTTTGTTCAGACCAAAGGAAGTAGTTCTTTGTGTGATACGTGCCTAGCAGTAGTCCTTCTCAGCGCATGATGTTCTGGATGCTAGAAGTTGCATGTGATTCAAGAGGAGACAGGATAAGTTCATAAGGAGGTACGTTCATTGGGCATTGTTAGACACAGGAATGGCCTCTGGTTCAGGGAAACTCTGAGCAGCACATTGTTGGAAGCTGGAAGAAACTTCAGAAGAATCACTTGCACTTGCTCTGATCTGATAGTGGTAGTTTTCCAGTTTCTCTCTTGGAGAGAGAATTATACCTTTTCATTTCTCAATTTCATTTAGCTTTTAGTTTAATCTGTCTATTTAATCAAATTGTCTGTTTTTACGTCCATTTTTATAAGAAAAACGTGTTAATCTGGAAATTACTACTGACGTGAGCCTGGAGCTGTAAGAACCTAAAACTCTTAGATGTTAGGATGCTATGGATCTATGGATGCTATGATTATTATAGTTCCATAGCACGTAAGGGGTGAGAATTCTCACGTTAGACTTACGAATTTGTCCTGTTACAGAATTAACTGTTGGTGTAATAGTTGGTGTAATATAGCAAGCACTATCTTTCCTTAGCTGTCTTCTGTTTTGAGGCTTAATAGCTAGTTTGTTATAGCCATCTGTCAGCACATAAAGGTTTTGTTCTAAATTGCAAATAAGAAGAAACAAGGGAGTACTCCTACTAGTCTATCAAAACAGTGAAAATGTAAAATTGCAAAATAGTATCAAAGTGAGAATGATTTTTTTTTTCTCTTTAAAGTGAGCATGGGCGATTGAAGAAATAATTCATATATATTATATATATTGAACGTATTATAACATTATAAAACTCAGAATTGCTTCTGCACATCATCATTCCACTCCTTTTTATACAGATGTATTTCATGTAGTCTTCTAACAGCACTTTCTAGCGAGCTGGCTTTTCTAATTTCCCATGTATTATTTTTCCCCAAGGTGTTAATTAAGACTTTATTCTCTGAGCTTGAACAGGAAGATGTTAAAGGTCTTGGGTTCTGGGATTTTTTTTCCACATGAACAAGAAACAAATCAATATTTCTCAGATTAAACTCATGCTTTCAAGTATCTTTTGTTTCAAAGGTTGCTGGTACCCATCTGTATGACTGGAGTCTTCAGGGATATATTGCTGTAGAATCTCTTTGGAAGGATAATCCTAAAAAGAAGAAGTCTGGGAAAAAAGGTGATAAGGTAAGAAGACTGAAAAACTTGATTTCTGGATTAGGAGAAAAATCTACCAACTTGTTTTCAGACAAAGAAATAATTTTACCTACTCTGATTTAGCTTACATTTCTAAAGACAAAGATTTCATGTTATATTTCCAAGTTGTGGAAAAATACGAGGCTTATTTCAGTTTCAGAAAGTGGTTGGAAGTTTTATTTTTGTAGTTGTTTTATATTTCTATCATTGCTTATTTTTATTAGGTCTATGTGTTGTGACTGGATAATAATGTCTGATAGAGCAGCATGCAGTGGCATCATTATGCTCAAGCAACTATTCATAAATACTCCACAAAAAAGAAAATCCATAAAATTTGAAGGAAGATGCTATTTTACTTCAAATGCACTTTGCATTCTACAAAATGCAAGATTCAAAAGTAGTGCAGTGTGCACTAATTAGTGCAGTAAGTGATATTAGTGGACAATTAGAATAGACTTGTGAAGAAAGGGGAACTTGTTTTGTTGATTCGTTACATTATGTAATGTCTAGGTCATAATTTATAGGCTGCCTAAAGCTTCTGGAGTTAATTATCATAATGATGTTTGTTTTTTATCTACTACACGTTTCCATTAGGCCTCAGGGGCAGGCTGTCCTTGTAGCTGTACCTCTGATATAGATAAAGAAACTAGATATATGTGGATGGCTCAGTGAATTGCAGTGTAAGAGACTGAACAATTGTGCTGTTATATAAAAAGTGCATGAGGGAGAACCTGTAAGATTTTTCAGGGAATTTTTTTAAACTTCTAGTTAAAAATTCAACTATATAACATAAAACATTTGAGGTTTAAAATCCACTGCTAGACTCAGTGCGTTTTTTATTCCTAATTTCTAAGCAACTGTGCTATTTCTACTGATGCAAACTGCTGCCTTAGCAGCAGATTGCTTCCTTTCTCTTATTTTAGTTATGGCAGAACTGAAATGTGATTTGAAAACAATTTTGAAGTAGCAGAAAGCCTTGGTGGTTCACTGTGACCTGATAAGTATGTTAACAGTTCATGCTAGGTTGATGATGATACATGGCTTTAATGGTGGTGTTCTGGGAACAGAAACCTCAAGACTACAGCAAGATATTTGCGACCCAAAGGTCTAAGAAGTAAGTGGGATGGCCACCAAGAGAAACAGGTTGCACAGGCAACTGCACTTGAGTGGATTTTGGATATTGAAGTGAGTTTCCTGCGCAGGGCTAGGTGTGGGGCTGGTTCCAAACAAAATGAGTTGGAGAAATGCTCACCTATCTTATCAGCTGCTGAGTCTTAGGGGAGCCATTATCAGCTGACTTTTCTTGTGGATACTCGCCCTCTTTTGGCCCCTAGGCTGTTTAATTAATGCACTTGTGTTACTCTTTGAATAAGCAAAGGTTAGTTAATCATATTGTACCTTTCCTAAAACCTTGTCTGTCAAAAAATGTTTCAAAAAAGTAGGCAACATAAAAATATGTCAGAAAGGCAAACTGATTGCATCAGTAAAAATTAGCCGAGCTTGTTCTTTCATTGTGTCCTAAGATGTCAAAAGGAAAACGTGGTTGTTGTTGGAAGGCAAAAACTTTTGAAGCCTTCATCGTACTATAAGGTTTATTCAAGCACTCACTACCTCAGCAGAAAAACAAAGAACATGCAAAGTTAGAGACCATTGAGTAAACACACTTCTTTCTCTTCCTCCTTGCCGAGTCTTTATATCGTGCTCCTCAGTTTCCAAAATGTTATTTGCACAGAAGATTGAACAGTTCCCTTCTAGAGTTAATGTAACTGGTCAGGTATTATTGGTGTTAGCTGTTGTCAGTTAAGTTGGTGATGAGAAAAACCTGCTGGGCAATTTCCTTAGGTCTAAGTTGCTGAAACAGTACCAAATACATAGTTGAAAAGATATGATTTTGTTTGTTTTGTTTGCTTATTAATGATAGTGTACTGATGATGTGGTCAGCCATGCCTATTAATGAAAACCTCCACTTTTTTTTGTACATACAGACCATCAGAGCACCACTAAAATGAAAGGGGAAGCCTTCCAAAGAAAAGCTTCTTTTGTCCATCTGTAATGCTCTGTGGTTATACTAATGTAAAAAGGTACTTTCTGTTTTTACAGTTGATGAGATCCAGAAAATCGGTACAAACTATTACATCAACAGGACTTCTACGGAAATGTCAAGAAATTCCCCATCCCTGGATGTGTTTGAAAACCGTTTGGATGTGGTGCTCAGGGATGTGATTTAGCAGAGGGTTGTTATTAAGGTGGTGTGGTTAGGGTGTGGTAGGACTTGGTGATCTTAAGGTCTTTTCCAACCTGAGCAATTCTGTGATTCTGTAAATACTTCTAACTATCATGTACCAAAGTTGACAAAGCATTCTGGGGTAGATTGTAGGACAACAGGGTTGTTTTTTTTTTTTTTCCTACCCTAATTTGACAACATGGTGAAATAATCAGGTTGTTTTTATATATTCTTTCCCTAATTGATATAGCAGGCAGCTAGGCTTCCTAACTAGGCAAATGCAAATGTTATTCTTGAATTCTTACCATGGCAGTTGTTCCTGAAACCACGCCAGAGCAAATGATGTTACTTGCTTGTTTTTGTGACATTTGCTCTCATGTTTCTTTGTTGCTGCATAAAGGATCCTTGCAAATAATCAAACTGTGTAAGGGTGGCTCTTCTTGGCTTGTGTTAATTTGTTACACAGCTCATAATTTGTTTGATAGTCATAGGTACCACAGCTGTGCATAACTTCATGTTTGTTGATGTGGTATGTGGGTTTTCTAAAGGTTTTATGAGGCAGTAAGCTATGCCAAATTGAGGTCATATCAACTAGGTTCTGCCAAGAAAGATGAATTCCAGGACCTTTTGCTCCAGTGTTTGAAATGCTGACTGGAGCCCCTCTGTACACCAAGTTAGTCTCTAGTTTTGAATATGTGATTTGCAGTATAGCATTCTGGTATCCTGATGCTGGTTTATGGAAGGAAGAGGTTGTCGGATTACAAGCACTCAACTCAAACTGTACAGATGCCATAAGTGACAATCTGTGTTCACATTTTTTATTTGAAGAAGGGTGAAACATTTTCTTCAAAAAGGACATGAGGAGTAGTTAATTAGCTTCTCTGTGTGTTACCTTGATATCAAGTGGACAACTTTGCTATATCTTCCCCCAAATAGAGAAGACAGAACAAGAAATGTAACCAGCTAATTGGTAGCCCAGGAGTATGTGAAGAGTTCTGTCTTCTGAATATTTTTTTGCCTACTTGATTACTCACTCACAAGAAGTGATTTCGCAAATATCAGTGAAATTACTGTTAACATTTATATTACCAAGTAGTAAGCCTTCAGGAAAGGTGACAGTGAATTCAAACCTTGTTTATCTTGGTTTGCAGTTGATAGAGAATCACACCTATGATTTTGTATGGTTTTTAGGAATGATGAATGCTGTTTGGAGCTCTTTAGAGTAGCCTTAGGCAACACCAAACTTTCATTACTGGAATTTTGCAATTATGAAGGCTCATACTCTGCACTGGCTCTGGTTAGTCTTTGTTAAGTAACTGGTCTCTTTGCCCAACAAAATCCATGCAAGATCTCCTCCCTCTACGCTTTTCTTCTTGCTTTACCATTCAAGTCTAGCTGAACTGTTAAGCCTGTGAATTGCAGCTTCTTTTTTTTCCCCACTACAGGATCTTTGTTTAATTCTCGATGAGATCAGCTGTAATACCTGCTCATAAATCAGAGGGTTAAAATAACTGTAATGGCTGGACGATTTTTGTGCAACAGCTTAAAGGACTGTAGCTTTATATGCAAAAGATAATAATAACTTCTTTACAGAGAACTGCTTAAACATCTGTATTTCAGAGGTATGGTTTAATACAGCTGACCTGTCAGTTTCTTGTTTGTCACTCAGCTCATCTGGTGATAGCTGTCATGAAATGTGGCCTTTCTTGTCTTTCCTCTTTTGTCTCTGGTTTTGCTATTTTTATCATCTGTACTGTTCTGTGGGGTTATTAGCTCTCGTGCTGCAGTGGTTTCATCTTCAAGTGATGAAGGCCTGTGTCCTGGCACCAAGTCACTTAGGCACGGGTTTTGTTCCAGCCAGTGAGCTGAAACATACTGAAACACAGAAAAACGCTTTATTCTGTCAGTTAGTTCTTTCTTTGTCTTCTCTTTATACCAATCAAAGAGTTAGCTTGCTCTATTCTCAGATGTTTTGGATTCTCCCTCTTCCTTGTTATAGTGAACCAGGCACCCACTGTTTTTACTGAAATGGCTGAAATGTAGTGAAACAGAACAGCACTAGAGCTCTAATAACATCCCCCTTTTCAGTTTGTGTTCCTTTCTTTGTGTGCTTCTTTCACCTTGTTCCAATCAGAATAAGATCGTACAGAAAACTGATTTTTATTTTTTTCCCATGCTGTCTATTGTTTATATTTTTTAAAGGAGCTTCAGAAATTCAGAGAAACTCATACAGCTTATTGGTTGAGTTTCATTCCTGGTCCTGTGATAGCAATTATCTGAAATTTACCAATACTTTCTGCATGTACAGAAGTACATATGTGTATACATACATACCTACACGTGCTTAGTTAAGCACAGCTGTTTGAGTATCTTATTAAGCATCAGCTGGTAACAAAGTGCTCTGAAACCCAAAGACTGTTCAGCTTTGGGTTGCTCATTTCTTGCACTGCGATCAAGGGAGTGGTGAAAGTGGAAGTTGTGGTGTTGACTGGGTAACTTAACCATGGGCATCATTAATGGTCATCATAGCAAACCTAAATCGTGTTTTGGGAGGTTTGAGTCACTTGTGGTTTAAGTGTATTTTAGAACAAAGCATGAGCAGCTGACAGATTTCCTGTAAATACCGAAGATTTGTTGTTGGTGGCTTCTTAAGAGACAGCAACCTGAACTAAATGATAAACATCTATTTCTGACAGAAAATACTGTCTGCTGTCATACATTCACTTTTTACTGTTTTGGTAGTAAGAACAAAAACAGAAAGGAACTTGAAAAGGCTGCAATTTTTTAGGGGTTGAATCCTTAGTTTGGGTCGTGATGAATGTAAGTGTTTGAGAGGTGAAAAAGGAAGAATCTACCCTACGAAAGGTTGTGCTTTCTAGTGTGACTGAAAATACAATAACATTTTTATAGTGCTCCATATTTCTGAGAGCAAATTTCAAGCTCAACTAGAAGTAAGCAACTGAGAATGTGTTGCTATTGACTGACTGGGAGAGGGTGATGTCTTTATTCTAAGCAACATTTGGCAAACAAAAGAGACAGAAGAAAGGGCAAATTAATAATCTGTGAGCCTAAACGCCTTGTTTTTCTTTTGTAATTGTTTTTCTCTGGGACCAGACTCTCTTTTGCAAGCCCCACCACTCCCCGCCCCCCGCGCCCCCGCCGTGGGGGGGGTTTTTTAACTAGACCAGCTTGCTTTTGAACTTCTTCTAAATATGTTGGTAAAAATGCTATAGCAATCCCAGTCTGATGGCTTCGAGTCTAGAGCCTAGGGCTCAGTAAAGTCAACTTGACTTTTTTTAATCAGTCACTGTCTGAAACTTTGTAAAAAAAAAAATATTGTGTACAGTCACCTTATTTTCATTATTTTGAATATCAAATAATGAATTTCTTCTTTAGATCATGTGGAATCCTTGTGTATTGAGTACAGGAGCGCATTGGGGAGATTTGTTACAGTCACCGTGCGTTTGAAAATGTCAGTTGCATAAGAGTACAAAATATTTCCGCTCCTGCTGTGGGATAGAAATCTGATGCATGAACTCCTCTGTTCACCCAGATGTGTTATGGAGTGGTTGTGTTGAGCCAGAAAATAGGAAGATTTTTGACTATGTGCCTGCTTCTAATAACAAGAAGGCATTGTGCCATGGAGGAGGCTGTCTTCTGGGTCATTGACCTAACCGTGTTAGTTTGCTTCTAATTTGTTTTGGGTGAGACTTGAGGACCTTGGAACTTGGTAAAATTGTGTTTATATCCTGTGCCAGCTCGAAGGACTTTCTTTTTCTGTCTACCTGCTTTAATGCTTTATCAGGCTCACTCATTGCTGATGTAGTAAGCACGGGCAGCGAATGGAGTTAAAAGAATGTGTTAATTGCTAATTGAACAAACGTGTTTGTATGTGAGGAGTGACAGTTTAGCGGTGGTTTGACTTGAATTAAACAACTCCTGATGGGTCTGGTGAAGACAAGTCCTGTGATGAGACCTGCTGATCTCATCAGCACAAATGAACTGAGCAGAATCCCTGTTTCCCTACACTTGTTATTGTTATATTGGCTTTTTTTTTTTTTTTCCTTCCAGAGCCAAAAAAGCCCCAAACACAAAAAAAAGAAAAAGCACTCTACCTGGGATCATTTTTATTTTTACAAGTCAAAACAAGCAAGTGGAAGAACGCAGAACCCTCTGTGAACAACTTATTTTTAGTTCATTTGTTCAGGATTGAGTAATCCCTGAGATGAGGCATCATGAGTCACTTTGTTCACTGTCAGAACGTACAAGTTCCTGTACATGAGAATTATAAACTATGTCACTGCTTTGAAATGGGTGTGTTCTGTGGATGTGACTTCATTTACTATGAAATATCCGGGATAGTGATCAAATCAGTGTTTTTTCTTTCTAAAGAAAGACTTACCTTCTAAAAGTCTTGCTAGTGATATTTTGAGTAGGAACTGTAAGAGTTCTATTCATAATTCAATCCATGTTTTTCCATCACATTTATTTAAGGTGTGTTGGTAAAAATCTCTTTTCTGAATACAAACAAAGGACGATTGAATTTTAGTGCTGAAAATGTAAAAGTAACTTTTATGTTTGAGGTTGGGTGTGGCCTCCCGTCATTTCATCCTTCCCCACGTTCGAAGGAGAACCGGATTTGAAGATAGATTTGGTGGCATGGACCTTGTCCAGTCACGTGGTGAATATCTCCAAGGATAGGGATTCAACAGCTTCTCTGGGCAACCTGTGGTGTGATTTATTTCCCTCTTTCCTTATATCTACTACTAGAAACTTGCTGTACTGCTCCCATGTCCTTTTGGTGTGAACCTCGAGAAGAGCCTGGCTCTTCCAAATATGTAGATGGCCATGAAATGACTGTGTATAGAAATTGGACTTCCCCTTTGGCTGGTCTCGAGTCTGAAGAGGCCTAGGTCTCTCAGCCTGTTCTCCAATGTTGTGTTCTTCGTTCCTCTGTCTGTGTAGATGTCCCTTTAAGTTTTTTCTTTTTTTTTTTTTTTGACATCTATTTAAAACAGTAATCAAGTGGCTGTTTGTTATAGCATACTTGGCAAATAGATAAACCAGATGCTGTAACAAGCATCTCTTCATTCTTTGATTTCCATCGTTTATTTCAGAGAAAGTGTGAGAACACTCTTTCAAAGGATATGTATAAAAGAGGCCTATTGTATAAGTTCACACAGAATTCAAAGAATGCAAAATAGCAACTACTCTGTGGGAATTCATCCTCTATTATTAGTGCAGGCAAAAATGAGTCAATTAAAGCATCTTCTGTTGAGCTACTTGTTCTTTCAAATCCATTAATTGCTGAGCTAACTACAGGAAGACTAAAATCTCAAAACAGTTTGGGGAGGGTATCACAATGAACTAACCTCATCAATCACTTGATTTCTGCAAGAAGTTTTTGTTCCAGCTTTTGACAAGGGCTCCTGTTCTAGCAAAAATATTAATAATGGCTTGCCTCAATTGAAATGTTGTGCCTGTTTTTCTCTCCTTAAGGGTGAAGTGGAGGGTGACAAGCCCCTGGAAGTCCATGCTGCTTCAAATGAAGAGCGAGCCCTGAAGTAGAACACCGGATCACTTGATGTCAAACAGGTAGAGGATAAAAAGCAGTAATAGTAAATGACCACAGCTGCGAAGTAACACAAACACTTGCAGGTTGGACTTGTATGTAATTAACTTCTTCATGTTGATGTAGAGGGGAAGAGAGGTAATAATTTCAATACTGTTTGTTTGTTTTCTTCTCCCCATCCCATTTCTGCCTCCAGTACCAAAAAACTGCTTGCCTGTGCAGGTATAGAGAAGGGGAGAGGAATCTATTCTCTGCTCTTAGGTTTTCTCTATAAAGTTTTGCCAGTTTCAAGGTACAGCCTCATCTTACAGCCTGTAACAGTCTGTGGTGTGCCTGACCTTTCATGTTGGTGCACTTCACTAATGAAATTTGCTTCTTCAGTTGGAAACCATAGTGCAGGAAATGGAGGCAATGTTTCAGTGCTAGGAGCCAGAAGCTGAAGTTGAGACTCCAGTTCTGTTTTAGGCTGCTTTCTGAGCTGCAACAAGTCCTGTGATTGTTACAGTTGTCTAGAAAGAAAGAAAACAAAACAAAAGGCAGAAACTCCTAACTTTTGAAGGTAGTTCTAGTTCATAGAAGAGAAATAGCTGTGTGTCTAAGGCCTGTTATCACTAATGATTATGTAATTGGACGTCATTTAGGACGACATATCAAATTATCTTCTCACACAGAAGATAGTAAGGATGTCTTTTTTTTAACATGTTTTTTAGTTGCCTGTCTTTGCTTATATTACTTCCACATTATGTTAAAGAGTTATTTTTCATCAGGATTCTAGCATTGTTGGGATTTCTCTTAAGATTTTTTTTTTTATTCAGTGTTCATTTTACTAGTAAAGTTATTTTATTTTTTTCCTAGCTGCCAACTGTCTAAATAGAGCTCAGATTTAGAAAACTCCACCAGTTTTTATTCCATGCGTCATCACCACTCGCAAACACTATGCAGAGTGCACATCTGCTGAACAAGTGTTCTACTTTTACAGCTTTACCAGCTAAACTAGTTTTTAATGTTGTGCTTCCATTAATATTTAATTGCTATAGCTAGTTCGCAAAAGGGCAAAGATACTTTGAGTGGCAGATCTACTGAAGTTTTCCTTCAGACACAAGAACTAGTTTTCTGTCAGAATATGAAGTCTCTAAATGTGTTTTCTAGTATCTTATAAGAGAGCCACATAAAAATACACAAAACGAGATTTTTTTTTTTTTTTTTTGTAAGATATCAACAAAAGCAAGGAAAGCTGCTCTGAAATTCACTAACGTATTGTGCTGCTTTTTAGCTAGGACAGTGTTAATAAGTGATAAAAAGCCAGGAAGGCTTAACTTTTGAATATTTATGGGATGCTGTCCCAGTACTCAATACAAACAGAAACCCATAAATAAATCTTATTTTCTTTAGCATGTGAGCATAATTTCTGCCAGGTCTTTACTCGCTGTCTGAGACTTCAGTACTTGTGCTTATGGCAAGTTTTCTTTAGAAGAAGAATTAAAAAAAAAAAAAAAAAAAAGTAGGAGGAAAAGCTGTCAGGAAGATTTATACTAAAGCTATCCAAAACCTTTATCCTCAGGATTTCAATCATTAGTATACACGTAGAGTATGCTGTATAAGTAGAGGCATGCTTTTTTTAATAGCTGCTGCCTCAGATGTTCTACTGTCTTTCTTGCTAGAGTAAAGATTGCTCATGTGTTTAAAGTATTTGGTTGCTGCTGGTTTTGAAATCTGCTTGCTTTGCCACATGTTGTTTCTGCATAAATACACCTACTAGAGTTTTGACCTAGAGCAACCAAATGATGGAAGTTCAATTCAGTCTCAATTTTCAGCTGTTCTGTGGGGGTGGCAATTTGTTACTTCTGCTTGAAATCAAATCCGATTATTTAACTCCATACTCAAGTCCAGCTGTTTTGTTGGATTTGGGTGATCCCGAATGTTGGAGAATGCTGCTGTGATCTTTGAAAAGATGAGTTTGTTTATTCTGAATGAGATCAGTCCTGAGAGTCTCACTGTGTATTAAACTGTTGGCAATAATCCTAGTTGAATCTGGTTATAAAGTAAACGTGGTCTCATTTTCCTTGCAAGGATTTGTCACAGCATGGGTCTTTGACTTTTGACTGATCAGGGACAAAATTGCTTTGGCTTGGAAGCAGTAACATGTTTCTCCGTTCCAAAAAAACCAGCAGCTTCAGTGCATGTTTGTAGTTAGCAGTTATATGCGAACTACAGCCCAAACCACATCCATCCCATCATGGGAGAAACAAGCTTTAATTTTATCCAGTTGTGCTGGTGAACTTTATGGAGGTGACAAGAGTTTGTGTTTTTTGTGTTTTTAACCTGTTCAGGTTCATTTTTATCTAATTCTATTTGTTCCAATTGAATTACCCTAGATTTATACCAGAGTAAATCAGATTAGAGAAAGTATACCTGATGGGAATGAAATAGAATTCCATTTGAGAATGCTGATTTATTACAAAGGATGCCAGTTGATGCTTTGTTACTGTGAAATATTCTTTCTCTTTTATATTTCCATACAGCATAGCTATAGGAACCAAGGAACTCGATGATCCTTGGAGTTCCTTCCAACCTAAGCTGTTCTAGGATTAGTGCTGTCATGTCAGAAATATGATTACTTAAATCCCTACACAAGATGTTAATAGTGAGGGTGTTCATCAAATGGATTTTGGTCAACTTTCAACATCAAAGAAAAAAATATAAATGCATTTTGACAATTAAAAGAAGAGGCCTATGATACCATAATTCTGTTGTTTTTTTTTTTTTCTTCACCCTTGTCTCAATATCAGTTGTGCCCTTTTGACTTCAGGCGAATAAAAATATAGATAGAAGCAACGAGTTCCTAAGAAAAAGAGGACAGCCATTGGAATCCATTTTGAATGTGACTAATCTGCCTTCTGCCTCAGGAAAGACTGCCAATGTGCTGCTTGGGCTTCTGCAATGGTATTTGTGAAAGGGCGCTGTATTTTGGGTCAATCTTGAGACCTTGTCCTCTGTTCTGCAGTGGGAGTTAAGTCTGCCATGCTTGTCCTGTTGCAGGATCAGCACTGCAAGTAGCAAGTCCCAAAATTCCTCAGTCTTGTTGTTATTTATGTATACAATAAAATTCCTATTACATAAAATAGTTATGATTTCTTTTCCTCTGTTCTTTAAGCTTGTATATGTGACCTTGGTACAATCTGGGAAAGGTTCTTAAGATGCTGTTGACAACGCCAGTACATCTAACAGTGAGGAAAAGAAGCAGCACGATGTTTTGGTTGACATTAGGTAATGGAATTATGCATTACAGCAACTACAATGAATCTTGTGTTTTCTCGAGTCTCCCTCTCCTTTCTGTGCAACTCTTCTGCCTCACCAGTGCCAGTGGGAGGTATATAATGAAGCATCTGTGAATTCCTGTCTAGTAGACGGGTGGGAATGGAGCTGCTAATGTTTGTTCTCGTTTTTGCTTGAATGCACAGCTCAGTGGGAATGAGAATATTGTGGTGGTGAGAACCAGCTATAGAATAACTTGTCTTGTTTCCTCATTCTGGGCGAGGGAAGGGGAGAAAAAGCGTAGCAAAGGGAAGTACAAGAAGATTTCAAACATCTTGAAATCTTTTCACTATAAAACCATTTTTCACGATAAAATCATCATTTGTTGCCATTTTCAGGAATGTCTCCCTTGGTGATGCTTGAGGAGATACTGATACACAGTCAGTTGTGGCGCTTTTAATCCAAGCAGCTCATAACGTTTAAAGTTCTGTGGGTGAATCTTAAATGTTCCTGAATGAATCACCGGTGAATATGAGGAAAGGATGAAACTAAACGAGTGCTGTAAGATGAATTCTGGAAGAAAAAGGCATTTAAAGGATTTAAAATGTTTTTAAACATCTTTGTAATTACTTGCTGCAGTGTTCCAGCTGACTATATTCACAGACTTCCACAGAGAAAAAAAGAGATGAACCTTGGCAATGCTAATGCCAGTCTGTCTGGGCATTATAAAACAGGCAAATTCTTTGATATAGGGCATAACGCATGTAGTTGCCTCAGGCAGAAAATAGTATCTCACAAAATGTTCAGCACATGTTTTTATGAATGTTTTAGGCTGGTAAATAATTGTATGTGTTGTTTAAAAAAATCCCGGGTTAACTAAGTATAGTGACTGAAATGCTTTTCGTTTGGGTGCATCTTCATTTTGCCTGTTTACACTACTTCTTAGAAATGTCCCCAAACAATAGGCTGCAAATGCTTTTATCTGGCAGGAAAAGGCTGCCTTCAGCCACCTGCATACTCAAATGAGGAGATGGTTCCAAAATTGGAACAAGATGTCCCTAACTGGACTCCTTACCTCTTCTAGCAACGATTTTTCACAAGTACAGAAAAGTAATGTTGCATGCTTTTGAGAGTGCAGGAAGTCATAGGCTTTCAACACTTGGCACACTCCTCGTGAGGAACAGGAGAGCAGTTGGCTGCTGTTTGATATATGTATACATATACAGATGCTGCAGCCTCTTTTTTGCATGCGTTATCTTTTGCCAGACTTCACTTGTGAGTATTACAACATAAGATGAAAGCAGTACATTCGCCTCCCAAGTTTCACATCAGCAATTTGATCAACCTTCTACCCTAAGCCTTTCGACTTGGTAACTGGAGCCTGTGTAAATGAGGAAACTGTCCTTATCTTAGCACCCTCAGCCACACTGTCAGCAAATTTACTAGGGATGGGTTGCAATGCTGCCTGTTAAAAACATGATCTTTAAGCTCTGCAGCTTGTGGAGATGATCTGGTTATCCAATTCAGCCCTTGGTCTGGGATGGAAATTCCTATATGTAGTTTCTTTTTTTCTCTGAGTAAATGTGGATAATGCAGCCTCTCATTTTGCCAGAAATATGTTGTTAGCTGACTAATCCTGCTAGCCCATGCAAGTGGAAAACCTTGCAGCCTTGAATAATATCACACTGTTTTGACACAAGTGTTTACTGAAAGAAAAGAAGTTGGCTTAATGCTCTGACTGCAGAAGGCCCCCAGTATGAACTTATCACCAGTATTTTGAAACCTTCCTTGTAGCTGTCACTACTGAAGAGAGTTATAATTCTTCAGTGTGAGAAAGCAAGATTGAGACAGCAGGAGTGGTACTTTAGAGCTGGAGAAATGGCTTGCTGCAGCTCTGTTTATTAGCCGTGGCACAAAAAATTGTACGAGTACTTTTTTTTTTTTTCCTTTTCTAATTCATTACTGTTATTTCCATACCTTCCTATAAACTACAAGCTCCTGGTAAAGCCAGTTTTAATATAATAATCTGCTGTTAGCAGAGAGCATTTCAGTTCTTCAGGCTTGCCAGAGGAGCCTACGTACTTTCCCACTGGGCCTTTCTGAATCTTTCTGAATGTAGCATCTCAGAGCAGGATCAACTTTTGCACCTGGATGGCCTGGCAGCTGCCTGGGTCAACAGCTCTGTGTAGTGTTTTTGACAGGTACAAAAGCTGCTTGTTTACAAGGAAAACCTTTGATAGCAATATCATAACTACAAAGCAGAAGAGGAGATATCTCTTAGCAGAAAAAAAAAAAAGTCTTGTGTAACAACATCCTGTCCTTGTGCATCTAGGCAGTCAGCTGATTCTAGTGTTTCTTGACTGTGTATTGATGTGTCAGGAGCTGACTGCTCTCTCAAGGCCTCTCTGAAAGCCGTGTTGGTGTATTAATGCAGTTGCATTGTTTTCTCCCATTCCATGTTGGTGAAGTTTATTGTTGGTCATTTTGTTAAAGACCAGTGCCTAATCTGGACTTTCATCTTGCTATTTTGATGTTATGGATTCCACCAGAATGCTGCTTTTACTACCATGTTTTCACCTGGTGTTACTGGTAGCTGTTGCATTGGGCTTGAAAGCTGGAGAAATCAAAGGTGGGATCGGGATGTCTCACAGGTGGTTATCAGTCTTCTTCCCCTAAAAATGGATTTTTTTATAGTGCCTGCTCCAGGCCAAGCTGTCAGGCTCTTTTGATTTCTGCAGACCTTTTTTCTGCCAACACCCAAAGCAAGGTGGGTGTCTGAATTGTACCCAGCTGCAGCAGGTGAGCTGGGTGTGATGCCCCATCGTGAGAGCCAGATACCGAGGGATGATCTTGATAGATGGTGAGGTGTCCTGGGGGCACAGGCTGACAAAATTTTGGTGAGTTTCATTTTTTTGGGTCTATAAAGAGGGAAGCTCCACCTGGGCAACTTGTTAGTATCTTCCCAGGAGCAGCCATGCAGCAGACTGAGCTACACACAAACAGTATCACAACGTTCAGGTCTCTGCCCACTGTAAAGACAGTGAAGGTCTGGAAACTATGTTTATACTTATTTATACTATGAATATAGGAACTGCATAAACCTCAGGAGTTTAATGTGATAGGGACTAACGCTAAAGGATGTGCTTTACTTGTAGTCTGAATGCTGAGGTAACAGAGACACAGAAAGTAGCTAAGTGGGCAAGATGGGTTGTTTGCTATGGTGCACTGTGTGGCAGAGGGCAGTTGCTCCAGAAGACTCTTGCTGTGGTCCTTTAGC